TCTGAGCACAAGTTCAAGAAGAGATAGTTCAGAGTTCACAATTATGAGCAGAGCTAGTGGTAGTCACAACGGGCAAGTGAGGAGGAGGAGAGAGAGTGAGGGGAGAGGAGATAGGAGGCGACGGCTGAAGCTGCAGGCACACGGGCAACAGGAGGCACACTGGCACAGCGGCTACCGGACAGCGCCCGGACTACAGGAGTAACAGGCCCCGCGGCTCAAATAGCGGCGGACGGGCAACGGACCCACGGGCGGCTGGCACAGCTGGCTACGACTGGGCTACCGGGACAGCGCCCCGGACTACAGGTGCTGCGAACGACAAACTGACAACCTCCACTCAACCTCCCGCACACAGTCCCATCCCCCTGATGCACACCCACTGCTACACCGCTAGCTGCACTCCCACGCACCCCCCTTAAACCCTAAACCCGAGTCTCCCACACAACCACCCCCCTCAGCGACAGCTGCAGCAGTGGGAGACGAAGGAGGAGGAGGAGCAAAGGGAGGAAGGCACACCGAGCACCCCCATACCCGCCACCCCACAGCGGCCCCCGAAGGAGCCGCGACGGGCGACGGGAAATGGCAGGGGGAGGGGGGGGAGGAGGGGGGGGGGGGGGGGGGGGGGGGGAGGCGGTGTGGTGAAATGGGCCCACCACGGGCCTGGTTGGAGGGCGGGGCCGCAACAAGGGGCGGGGCCGCGACGAGGGGCGGGGCCGCGACGAGGGGCGGGGCCGCGACGGTCGGGCAGGGCCGCTTCGAGGGGCAGGGCCGCGGCACAGGGCGGGGCCGCGACGTAGGGCGGGGCCGCGACGGTCGGGGCGGGGCCGCGACGTAGGGCAGGGCCGCTTCGAGGGGCGGGGCCGCAACGCAGGGCGGGGCCGCGACGTAGGGCAGGGCCGCTTCGAGGGGCGGGGCCGCGACGTAGGGCGGGGCCGCGACGTAGGGCCGACGCCCGCGAAGGTAGGGCAGACGCCCGCCGCGCGCCTCGGGGCGTACAGCGGGCAAAGAACCGCCGCGCGCCCCGGGGCGCACGGCGGGCAGAAAACCGCCGCGCGCCTCGGGGCGCACGGCGGGAAGGAAAACCGCCGCGCGCCTCGGGGCGCACGGCGGGAAGGAAAGGTAGCAGCGGAAGCGAGGTTGAAACCCACCCACAGGATCGATCCAAGGGGATCGACCTGCTCTGATAGCATGACAAAGTTTGAAGAAAGAAAGAGGGTTGAACTAGCAGAAATGGGGATACAAATAGCAAACCCTACAAGGGTTGTACTTGCTATAGAGCACCCCACTACAGGCTAGAACAATAAGATAATATTCTGACAGCCTGGAGGTCACAATCTGTACCAAGGTAACCGCGGGCATTGGAATGGTCACGCTAATGTATCGATACCTGTAATATGGTTTTATGGAATCAATAAGGGAATGTACCCTACTGATTGCTAAGCTCGTTATGGCTGTATAAGGTGATGTTTGCTATCATCTTCTGATCATTTACGGTCGCAAGACCAGCACTGGGGAATCCCCAGTAGTGGGGATGCCCAATTGATCCCAATGATCTAGAATCTGGGATTCTAACATTTAGATTCACTATGAACAAGGTTAAAAAAAAAAAAATCAACTTATAGCAGCCTTATCCTATGCAAGTCGATCCTTCAATAATTCTAACATCTGGGTGCTATGATTGTCGTGTTCCATGCTGGTGGTCCAAAGGTGATTTGGGAATTTCTATATCCCAATATGATCACATACATTTTCTCATCATATTCTACGTCAGGTGACGTAGAAATTATTTTGTTTTTATCTTATATATCACAAGAATGCACAGACATCGGCAGTCGTAACTGTGGTGACGTAGACAGTAAGGAGTTTTTTGTTCTACTCAACTTGACCGCGCTTGGTGGTTTACCACACGGATTCTCCCATGTCTTCCCCATCCAATTTTCATCAGCTCGGCCCAAAGCGCTACAATTGTCACTGTTTCCCTTTCCCTAATGATGCTCTGGTCACCTATCCGAAAAATCCTTTCCGCCAACCCTAATCGCTACCGCTCCCAGACCTGTACTGCATCTGTGCTGCTTACCCTCACCATCACCTCTCTGCTTGGGTCCGTCGTTCATCTCAGCTGAGCAGCCATGGTGAGTCTGGATGATGCTTATGGCGTACCTAGCCCGCTTTCATGGCAATCGCATTCAATGAGCGCCGAGTGAGCTTGGGACGAAAGCTCTCATACGCGTCGCAAGCAACACGGGGTTTGTTTAGCTAGTTGATGGGTCGTCCCCGTGTCTTGAATCTCACGCGTAGTTCCGTATGGCACGTTTCAGCTGCTCCAGCCTTTCAGGGGTTCGTGAGCCAGACGGTGTCAGATGGTCCGATGCACTCTAGTTCCGCTAGGTGCAGGAGAGGAGAAAGTCGCCGTCTTCTGAATTCGACTTTCCAGCGCCGTCTTTTCCCGCGTGCTCGCATGCCAACTTGCAGCTCTGTGTATCGTGGCGACCTCGTCGCACGGGGAAGCACGAGCAGCTGCTCAGGCTCGACTGCTCTCTGTCCTTCGTGTTTATTAGGCCGTGTACACCCATCAAGTTGTTGGGTCGCGATAGTGCTAGTTGTCAGAACGAGACAGCCGCGGCAGCCTGCTTCCTGCCCGTCTCGCATCACGCCTAGCTCTGGTTCATGCAGTCTAGGCGTCGTTACTCGTGCTGCGTACTGTTTCCCTTCTCATAGCCCGACGCGCGTCCCTCCAACCCATTCCCAGCATCGAGAACTGATGTTAGCGTGTGTTTCCGCCAACTCCACCTTCCGCTTTTCACCCCAGCTATTCACCCTGCTCTTCTCCTTCCGATTTCCTGTTGCTGCCCCCGCCTCATCCCGTCCCCCATGTCGCTCGCGCCTCTCGGCTCGAGTGTGGGTGTGCGCGCGTGGCAGGTGAACGTGCCGAAGACGAAGAAGACGTACTGCGGCGGCAAGTGCAAGAAGCACACCACGCACAAGGTCACGCAGTACAAGAAGGGCAAGGACAGCGTCTACGCGCAAGGTGCGCTCCGTCCTCGTCTCTCAGCTGCCTGCGCTTTCTTGCTCCCCTCCCTCCCCTCCCTCACATCCCTCTCTTTGCCCCCGCTCCCATGTCCTCTCTCGCCTTCGTTGTCGCCACAACAACTTTTTGACCGCACTTCCTCGGCATGTAACCCTATACTAATTCATCCATTCCCCTAACCCTCTATGCCTCCCCTTCTCCTCCCTTTTCCACACCCCGCTTCCTCCCCCACTTCCCTCCTCTCCCGCCCCACCGCCTTCCCCCCCCCCCCCACCCCTTCCCCCCCCCCCCCCCTCTTCCTTCTCCATTCCCCCTTTCTATCCGCTTTCCGTCGCTCGTCCCCCTCCCCGCTGTCCACGTGCGGCGCAGGAAAGCGGCGGTACGACCGCAAGCAGTCGGGGTATGGAGGGCAGACGAAGCCCGTGTTCCACAAGAAGGTGCGTGCCTCGCGCTCGCACTGACGCCGGGCCAGAGGGGTTGCGCGGATCTGCTGACGGGAGGATAGAGGGAGGGAAGGCTGAGGAAGAGGGGGGGAAGAGGGAGGGAGGGAGGGGAAAGGGAGGGATTGAGGGGAAAGGGAGGGAGGGAGGGGAAAGAGAGGGAGGGAGGGGAAAGGGAGGGAGGGAGGGTAAAGAGAGGGAGGGAGAGGGAAGGAGAGAAGTGGAGAGGGGAAAGGAGACGGATTGGGAGGGGGAGGGGAAATGGAGAGGGCGGAGAGGTGGTCGGGAGGTTGAGGGGAAATATAGAGTAAGGGAGTTGGGAAATGGAGAGGGAGGGAGAGGGAAACGGAGAGGACCGGGGTTTGGACGCGTGCTTGATTGTGCGTGGAATAGCCCGATTGTGGAGTACGCTCTCACAAGTCGCGCTATTTTGATGTTCTCTTGCTCTGCACTCCTCGCACCGTCCCGTTGCCTTCCTCTCGATCTCACGCTTCCCTCCTCCCTGCTCTTCACGTCCGCTTTTGGGCGTGCCTCGCAATTGGTACGGGCAGGCGAAGACGACGAAGAAGATCGTGTTGAGGCTGCAGTGCCAGTCGTGCAAGCACATGCACCAAACGCCCATCAAGGTGAGCGCGCGCTCGCACGTGCAGGGGGAGCTGGCGGAAAGAGCGGGTGTGGGGGGTTGAGAGGAGGTGTGGCGTGGCGGGTAGGGTGGGGGCGGAGGAGCATGGTGGTGCAGGGGTATTGGAGCCAGCACTAGCACGGCGCAAGATTGGCGGGTGGGGATCACAATGGGTTATATTTTTTTCACTATATTTCCTTTCAGTCTTGCGAGGCATTCAGTTACCTGTGATCTACCTAACTGTCACTCTTACCTACCCCAACCACCCCCACCTTTGTCCACTTTTCGTTCTCTCTTTCTCGCTCTCTACCCACTCCCCCTCTCCTGTCCACCCTTTTTCTACCACCTGGGCCTTGTTTGCTGTATGCATGCAGCGCTGCAAGCATTTCGAAATTGGTGGAGACAAGAAGGGCAAGAGCACATCTCTTTTCTGAGCCATTGTCTTTCTGTTGGCCCAGCTGTGTGCATTTACTTGGTAGTGCCAACCCCACAATTAGTGTGCCTGCTGTCTCCAGGCACTAGCCTTGCATCCTCCGCTCTATTCCTGAACCTCCCTTCCATCATCCCACCCAGTACGTCCGGCTTGATCAACCCCTCATGCAGCTCATCCCTGGCACATGTCTGTTTGGCACGTGTGTCCACCGTCCATGCTATATAGCACAACTGCCATCCAGCACAGGCATCACCATCTACCACCATGTGCAGCGGTAAAATAGGGCATGCCATGAATATGAGACTGTACTATCCACAACCCTAGTTTCAGCTGCTATGTCAGAACAAGTGTTGTATGCTGACGGATGCGGATTACATTGAATGAATGATACCATCCGAACTGAATCCCCAACATAATCTACGGCACTACCGGTACATAGTGTGGCCCACTACATAGTGTGGCAGGCTGGTGGCCCACCCTTCATACATCTGAGACAACTGCCTTCTCCATGGCACCATTGCTGCTTGCACTGACAGCCTGATTCTTGTCTCCTTTTTCTGCCTTGCTAGTTTCACCCTCCAGCGCAGGAGTAGGCACCACCCGCTTCCAGAACCAGTGGCGCTGCCACACACCCGCCATCTCCTCGATGGGCACGCCCTTGGTCTCGGGCAGGAAGAGTATCACGCAGACAGTCATCACCACGACCCATGCCGCGAAGAAGAGGAAAATCCCAAACCTGCACACACAGCAAACACAACCCATCAGCGCAAAGCCCTCAAATGCTCAAAATCCGTGCACCCCTGACAACCCAATGCCCCTAGTGCCATGTGAGCAACAGCAGTGCTTGGCTCACTTGAAGTGGCAGAGCATGGAGAGGAAGGCCTGCCCCACGGCGAAGGTGAAGATGAAGTTGACGGCCACCGTGATGCTCTGCCCCGCCGACCGCGTCTCCAGCGGCTGGATCTCCGACGGCACCAGCCACCCCAGCGGGCCCCACGACCACGCGAACCCCGCCACGTACACGCAGATCACCACCACCACAGCCGTCGCGTACCCGCTCGACAGGCTGCCCGTCCCACTCGCGTACGTCGTGCCCAGCAGCACGCCGATCGCTACCTGCACGAGCGACGCGCACAGAGCGTCAAGAATAGCGCATCATTTGCGAGTAAGCTGTATCACGAGGATAGTGAGATGCTACCCTCGGACTGCGAGAATTGCGTGTACTGGCAGGGTATTAGCGGTACCTGCGCGAGGACCATCTGCACACCGCCGACGAGGAAGAGCGACTTGCGGCCGAAGCGGTCGACGGTGAGGATGGAGACGAGCGTGGCCACGACGTTAACGGCGCCCGTGATGACGGTGGTGAGCAGCGACGCGCTGTCACCGAAGCCGAGCGACTGGAAGAGCGGCGTGACGTAGAACATGATGGCGTTGATGCCCGTCAGCTGCTGGAACACCGGAATCCTGCCGTCGCGCCATCGCGCCAGAAAGGTCAGTCTTATCGTCCCCCTTTGAATCGGTGGATTGATGAGCACAGCAACTTACAAGATCGCCCACGTAAGCTCGGGCCGGTATTTCCAGCGAAAGATGGCGAAGAATGGGGCCTTGACAGTTTTAGAGGCGTTGCACGCGTGTTGAATCTCGTCAAACTCCTCCTGCGCGCACACAAGCATATCATTACATTCTCGTGACTCCAGCGGGTTTGAGCATAGCCTTCCGAAAATATCCTCGGCATAACACTCACCTGCACGTCCACTTCAATGCCGCGAATCCGCTGCAACACCTGGCGGCCGCAGGTTGCATGGCCGCGCTCCACGAGACTGTTGGGCGTGTCCGGAAGGAACAAGCCTCCCGCCGTCAGCACGGCGGCAGGCACGGCAGCGAGCGCGAGCGAGAGGCGCCAACCCCAGGGGTGGAGGTGCGCCGTGCCGTAGTTGATGAGCTGCCCGCCCACGATGCCCAGCGTCGTCGCCATCTGAAACATCATGTTCAGCGCGCCGCGCAGCTGCGCCGGTGCCATTTCCGAGAGATACAGAGGCACGGCCTGCACGCAGAGACGGCGGACGGGGTTAGCATGTGATAAGGCGATTGCGGTGACTCATGGGGAATGCAATCACGTAGTACCTGGTTGGCGGAGCCGACGCCGAGCCCGAGCAGAACTCGACCGAGCACGAGCATCTCGATGTTGACGGCTGCTCCTGTGAGCGCGGCGCCGAGAAGAAAGAAGATGCCGCCCACCAGCATCGTGCGCACTCTGCCGAAGCGCGACGTGGTGACGGACGCGATGAGCCCGCCGAAGATGCCGGCGATGAAGAGCGAGGACGTGAAGAGCTGTAGCAGCTGCGAGTCGAACTTGCACCACGAGTTCTCGTGCGCCGAGAGCTTCTTCGTCAGCACTGCGGGGAAAAATGCCTCTAGAAATCCATCCATGTTGGTCACCCCGCCTGAGCACAGCACGTGTGGGATCGTTCGTTAGAATGACAAGCATGGGTGCACCTGCGTTGAAAGTTAGCGCGGATTGTTGGCTCACCTGTGATGCCGATGTCATAGCCAAACAGCAGCCCGCCGCTCGCGGCCACGAGGCTGGAGAGGATGACGTACGCCGTCACTCTCCCGTTGAACTGGTGCGAGCCCGGCGACACAGGAACCATGCCGCCTCCTGCCATTATCACACAACTTGTAGAAGTTTCGCTTTCGAATCTTGAAGGATATTGAGTTCCAGGATTTCTTGATTAAGTCCACTGACTGACGAGCAGTGAATTTATTCACTGACGGCCAAAGCTGGACTGCCACAGGAGTGGGCAGATGGTGGTGGGCTTTCAGAATTGAATTCGGCTTGGGGGAGTGGGTGAGATCACTCGCGTCACTGTGTTGCCTTGCCCCTCGAGCATTGGTTTCGGATGAGATGAGGGAGCAGTGGCACCTCGATCAGATAAATTCCACATGCGGTTCGCACGTAGACTCGGGGGATCGCGAGCATTGGGAATTGGACAGAAATCTCACTCGCGGCAATAACTGCATCGGTAACCAGATTGAGGTGAAACGCTACACTGAGTGCATGCATCATCTGTATTTAAGACTAATGGTTGCAAAAACGGAAACGTAAATGTTCATGCAGAGTTAATCAATGAATTAAGTTTTATCTTAACTATGACACGTTTATTGAGGAAATAATACAAACACATCATTGACCCGTCCCATCCGTCCCGTCCCCTTTCCTCGTATGACTGTACAAAGCTATGATACACGCCAGCGCTAGCATGGCGAGAGCGACCCCGAACATAATAAACGCCACCCACTCCAGTTGCACCTTGCTCTTGGCTCCATAGCAGCCTTGCGGGCTGGAGGAGAGGTCGTGGAATAGGTCAACGAGGAATTGACACGTGGCCAGGTCATACATGTCGGGCACCAGGTCCGCCACACTTGCCGTGGCAGCAGCAGCACTGGCAAGCAGGTGGTAGGAGGAGTTGGGGATGGGCGTGCCTCGCCGCACACAGATAACAGGGTTCTCTGACTCACAGTGGTATGCGGCGTAGTCCTATGGGGCAGGGGCACAGGGCATGGGCAGAGGCGGTGTTTAGGGAACTCAGCGAGGTGAAGAGGAGGCAACAGGTTAGCATGACAAATGATTAATTGATAAGTTGTAGAGCAGTACAGGTGGTTCATTCCTATTCCCGCATCCCACATGAGCAGTACGGTGTGCTGCAAATGTAGCAGGAGGTGCGAGCAGGAGGAGGTGAGCAGGAGGTGTAGTGCAGTGCTGCGTTGTGTGATGAACATGCGGACGTGAGGATAGGAATGTCACAACAGCCCCCATTCTCAGCACCAGACACTTGAGGATCAAATATGGTCTCACCTGTTCGAAGGAGCGCACAGAACCGTATCCGGCAGGGCACACAGCGGGAGCGAGGTTGCTGCTCTCGTTGAACACCGGGCACAGCAGCGGAATTACACGATCCTCTCCACTGCTGCTGCTGCTGCTGCTGCTGTTGCCGCCAGGGCTCAAGGCGGTGCTGCTCTGCTCTGTGCGTGCCGCTGCGTCAGGCACAGCAGCTTCACTATTCCCTCCTCCTGAACCCGCCTCCGCAACGCTGCTGCTGCTAACCATGCCCATGCTCGACCCGCGCCCTCTCAGCCCCCCTGCGCGCGCAGCCCCTCCTGCCCCTTCCACCGCACTGCTCGCCACAGCCGTGCCGCCGCCACCCGCGCCACTGGCATCGCCTCCCCCCGGAGCGCTGGTCTCCAGGAGCCCAGCGGAGCGCAGCATGCGGGCGAGCCCGCCCAGCGCCGCGTTGCCGCTCTCGATCTGCGCATTGGCGAACCCCACCAGCTGGTTCGCGCCGCGCGCCGCGTTCACCCGCGCGATGCGCGCCGCGCGCGGGTTGATGCAGGGCAGCAGCGGCGCGAGTGTCGAGGCGGCGGGGCTGGCGGCGTAGAGAGCCATCTCGGCGCAGGAGTCGCGCAGCATGCTGCGCGCGCAGGGGGAAGGCGGAAGTGGAGGACAGGGAAGAGCGGAAAATACTGGGTAACGAAGTTAGAATTGAGATGGGCCGCACTTGGGATGGAGAAGTGGGAATGCTCGTGCGCGGGGCGCACGACTTGCAAAGCAGTCAAGTCGCATGGCGAGACACAAGCGCGCGCGCATAAGGAGGAGGGATGCAGGTGGGTGGCGGACTTACACACGCGCAGAGGAGAAGACGGCCGCGAGCAGCCACGCGACGAGCAGCAGCGCGAGCAGCACCGCCATGCTCCTGGGGTGGGACGCATGGGCAGGATGGGCGGAGAAGGGAGGGAGGGAGAACGGTGCAATGAGGAGGGGCGAATAGTGAGGGGAGTGCGGGGGCGGGGAGGAGCGTGCGTCGCATGCTCTCACGTGCATAATTGACCAAAAGAGAAGGCGCGGGAGCAAAGAGCAAAGAGCAAGGATGATGGGTGATGAGAAGCACTCACAGGAGGTGCACAGCCAGGCACTGCCGCCTGCCCCTGCACGCCCCTGCAGTGCGCCCACACACGCAGGCCGGGAGGCAGGCAGGGAGGGAGGTGGAGAGGGAGTAAAGGGCATGAGTAGAGGGAAGGATACGCAGCTCGTGTGTAGGGGGGGCTGAAAGGATCGAGGCAGGCATGTGGTGTGGAGGGATGGGGAAAGGCATGGAGGCAAATGGTGGCGTGCGGTGGGTGGGGGGTTGCGGCTTTGAGGCATTGTGGTATGAGGTGCGGTGTGCGCGCCCTGAGGAGTGTGGCGAGCTCATGGCGGCCACACTGCCCTCCGCACCTCCGCCACTCTCCATGAACCCACCCCCCCACATTCAGTCCCCCCAGGCCCTCCTACGTCCCCAACACCCCCACACTCACTTCCCCACACCTCTGCTCACACTCGCTCACCACCATCTACACCCACCAAGAGCGGAGATAGCGGAGAGCAGCAGCAGCAGGCAGGAAGCAGCCATGAGCGATATGAGACTGCACGGGCCGCATGGGGAGGGGCGGATGGGGTGGGGCGCATGGGGTGGGGCGGATTGGGGAGTTGATTGGAGAAATGAATGGGCGGTAGAGATAGGTGCACAAAGAGAGGCAGTCTGGCGAGAAGCCTTTGTGGTGTGCAAGGGTTCATACCAAAGGGCACGAAAGGGAGGAGGGGGGAGTTGGGAGGAGTGCGCGGAAGGCAGGCAGGCAGGCGGGTGGACAGGCAGGCAAAGAGCAGAGGGGGGAGGAGGGAGGGGGGGAGGGGCGGGGCGGGCGGCACAGACGTGGTGGTGGTGATGGAGAAGGCCCTTTGTGCCACGCGCTCCACCGTGCCCTCCAGCTTGTGCGCCTGGCGCTGCAGTGTGTGCACCGACACCAGAGCACGCCGAGCAAACACCAGTATTGACGCCGCGTCCATGCTGCCGTTGCCGCTGCCCTCACCCCCCACTCGCCCCACCGCGTTCCCCCAGCCTTGCTGCGACCCTCCTGCTGTGCCATTGCCGCCGCTGCTGCTACCACACGGACCATTGGTGCTGCTGCGTGCACCACCAGCGTCGCCTGCCTGCACGCTGCTCCCTGAAGCGCCGCCGCCACTCTCGGGTGCTGCCCATGCAGAGCCCATCTGCTGCTTCTGCTGCGCCTGCACCTGCGGTGGTGGCGGCTGAGCAGGCAGCAGCAGCGAGGGGTCGGAGAGGGTGCGGTTGAACACCGCGTACGCTGCTGTCAGCGTGCCCGCCATGTGGTCCAGCTGGTGATGGTGGTGGGAAAGGGGGTGAGGATGGGTTGGGATGGGTGACGAGGGCAATGCGAGGGCGGGGCTGGAGGGCGAGGAGTGGGGCAGAGCAGGGCACACGTGGAGGCGAGCAGCAGTGATGGTGTGCGGTTATGGCTTGCGCACATGCACTCATGCACGCCACATGGGGTACTGCTGCCTTTTGTGCTGCCGCACATAACAGGTATGGGGGGGGGAGAGAAAGGCGCGGGCACAAGGTGCAAGCGAACAGAGAGGGCGGTATGAGCAGGCGGGCGGTACCTTATTGATGGCAGCAGCAATGCTGGTGATGACAGAGTCCCTGGTGTGCACGGCTATGGGGCGGAACGATGCACTCGCGTACAGCGCCACGCCCACCGCCGCACTGTGTGTCATGGCAGGGAGGGGTCGGTGAGGGGAGAGGGGATGGGAGAGGGGCGAGGTGAGGGGAGGGCATAGGGGAGGGGTGAGATGAGATGTACGCGCAAGGAGTTGGTGGTGGGCGGAGGTGCGATTCCACATGGCGTGCATACCATGGGAGGCTGCGACGGGCTTCAAGGAAGCATGTCGAAAGGATGTGAGGAGTGGAGCAGCAGAGACGGAACAGGTGGGTGAGGGTAGAGACGAGAGCAGCAGGTGCAAGCTCGGGGTACCCCCACTCACATGGCCAACAGCAGGCTCGCAGCAAGCAACACCCACCGCACCACCTGCCACCCCAATCGCACCGCTCGCCCCCACCCCGTCTTCTCCCTTCCCTCTGCGCCCACCCCTCCTGCTTCCCGACTTGCCCCTGTTCCCCTTGGTGCCGTTGCCACACTGTTGCTGCCGCTCGTATTGCTAATCCCCTCCTCCGCCCCCCGTTGACAAGGCTTCTTCTCCTCCTGCCCCCATGCCTCACACTCCTCCCCCTCCCAAGGGACTGACAGCTCAGACGCCACGTGGCGAAGGCCGATTGGAGCAGAATCAGCGCTGGATAGAGACAGGAAAGGCGCAGAGGAAGAAGCAGATGAGGAGGAGGAGAGGGAGGAGGAGACGGAGGGGCGGGTGGCTGAGGAAGCAGAGGAGGTGCGAGGGGAGGAGAAGGAGGAGAAGGAGGAGAAGGAGGAGAGGGAGGAGGAGGCAGATCTGGTGATGGCGATACTGTTGCCCATGTCTGGTGCGCTCACCCACGATGCTGCAGGGGGGGATGTGCACATGTCAACATGGGGCCAGTGAGCACCCGAGCTGCCTGCCATGGGTTTGTGGCCCTGCACGCATGCCTCCAGCCGCCCACCCGTGGCCTCAACGATACCTGCCCCCCCAGCTGCAGCAGATGGCACCGCTGACTGCTCGCCTCTGCCTGCCCGCCCTCCGGTCAATTTGCCCCTTTCCGTTCCTCTTCCTGACACCCTCTCTGCCTCCGTAGCGCCCTCCACACCACCTGCTTCTGCTGCTACACGTGCCCTTGCACCCTTCTTTGAAATTGCCACGTGGCAGCAACTCAATGGTTGGCGGAAGCAGAGTATAAGGCCGACCAGCACAATCCCGAGGAGGCACAGGATAACGCCAACTGCTGCCGCCCACCACCCAGTGAACGCTGCGGACTGAAGGAAACACAAGGAGGGGAAGGCGGGAAGAGAGAGGGCAAGGAGAAGAGGGACATATGTGCAACATGGGACAGCTTCCACAGCTTTTGTCACCACTGCTCATGTATGCTGCAGCGCGCTCACGCGAAAGCGCTGCTCCCCAAGTCCCGCGCCACCTTGGTGGCGGCGCCCAGTGCAGTGAACCCCTTGTCCGAGCCTGTAGGCATCGGGGAGGTTCTCCACGCCATGGAGGGGGGGGCCCAGGTGCTGTACACAAGTGCAGTAGTTGGTGCTACAAGTGCCCGTGATCGCTGTACCTACCGCATTGCCCTCCCCTTGTATAACACCGCTGATATCAATAAAGGACCATTCGAGGGCAAGGAAAAAAGGAATGGATGCGAAGCTGGGTCATATGTGACACATGGGACCTGCTTCAATGCCATGCACGTGCTACTTCAAGTCAATGACCATGCAAGGCCCTACGGCATGGCACACGTGGCACTGACCGCCCAGTAGTGCACGTCAGTGACGTTGTACGGGCCTCGGTAGCGCCTGAACCCGTCCATTGGATCCACGCGTGATAGGCTGCCGCGCTGCCCTGCCGCCTCGTCCCCCTCGTCCCCGCCGCCATCGCCTGCCTGCACCACCCTCAGCAGACTCAGCACGCCGCCAAGCCCGCCACTCCCGTCGGTTCCCCCCTGCGTGGCGCTGGTGACCATGGGACATGGCAGCAAGCTCGCCCTGTCATCCGGGATCGCCGCCGCCTCTGCCGTTCCTGCTGCTCCTGCGCCCGCACCCGTGCCGCCACTATCAGGCCTGGTGGAAGCGGAAGATGCGCCACTGTTGTTGGTCGCGGGGGCTGCAGGGGATGCGGCAGCAAGGGCCGGGGAAGCCGCTGTCGCCGCGGCGAGCGGTCGGGGCGCGTTGGACTCGGCGGGCAGAACGTACAGGCGCTTGCGCACCCCCGCACCATGCCCCACCGCCCCTTTAGCGTGCCGCCACCTCTCCCACTGGGACTCCGCTCGCTCAAGCCTGCCCGTCCGCACGCTGCCAAGCGGGGCAGCGAGCGCGGGGGTCAGAGTCAGCAGGGCCAGAAGCGCTGGTAGTAGCAGGAGCGGGGACGGGGCAGTGCGGGTGGCGCGCGAGGGGCGTAGCGCGTGCTGCAGTCCGCGCCGCTCACTCCAACTGGCGCTCCCCTCGCAGCCGTGCGGTTTCCGGCTCTCCGCCGCCGTCACACACCACCACGCCCATCTGCTGTGGGGCGCGGCTGGGCGATGGAGAAGCGCTCTGAATACACTGCCTCGGCACTGCCCCACAACCACTCGTGTCTCTCCCGACCGACACCTCCAGTCGTCCTGAGCAAGCATTATGGAGCTGGGCATGTGTCAAACGCAGTGTACGGCTCTCCGCGGTCCGCCCTTGCCTCCGCCGCGGCCGTCGCCTCCTCGCACCTCCCTGCTGCCCCTTCTTCTCCCCGTTTTCTTGTCGCGACTGTTCGCCTCAGCGTTTCTCTCAGAGACCTCGTCCCCGCCCGCGGGCTAGCCGTGCCCGAGCTGGTGAGAATATAGAACCAAATTCGATCACTCAGATCCCTGCGGCCTGCTTGGCTAAAGTGATGGTGTGAACCTTAGCGGCACGTGTGGCAACGAGACGATCGTGTAGCGCGTGACGGGATTCAATTGCGCATCATGCTGCTGGTACAACTTCCCCCGCGCTCAGCTCAACTGATGGAGCATCGGTAAATCCGGCTTTGGCGATCTCGCGAACTCGAAACACTCGTCAAGTTTTTGTCGAGTGCCGTCTCGCGGCCGTTGCAATCACCGGCTTGCTCAGTGAAGAGCGCCGTGGACGGCCCGTCTCGCCGTGCGAGGACAGCGCTGGTGAGCGTGATTCAAGAGATTCTAACTGCAAGGATTCGTTCAGCGATCGAAGAAATACTGGGCGACGACCGTCCACGCAACGTCATCGACACACTATAGGTGCAGGCTTAAACGCGCGGCAGACACAGCGATGGCCACACAATGGTTCGACAAACGAGTTTTCCCTTTTCACGCAGGGAATGGCGCCTTGTGCGCGAAGACAGGTGGTCACAGACGATGAGAGGCGAGGAGGAATGAAAACAGAAGAATGAGAATGATCGACACCAGGAGGTGACGATTGAGATTGGATAAGCGAACAGGCAGACAGCCTGCGACGAAAGGTTCGGCTGTCGTCCTTTCCTGGCAAAAGCACCACGGCGTGCCGCATAGTCGCTATGACGTAAGAAAATGTGGCTCGTTCGAGGGAGCAGTTGAGGATAGGGATAGAGCGGAGGGATTCGTAAGGAGCTAGCAGCTGTGGCAGTGAGCGTAGAGATTTGGGCGCTGACATTTGTGAGAGAGAGGAGCAAGCGTGAAGAGTAGTGCCATGGTGGGTGTCGAGGTTAGGGGTGGATGGAACCGAGGAGCAGTGACGATGAGAGGGAAGATCGAACGGATGGAAGCCATGAGTGCAGATGAACGGTTGGATGAGGTGGACAAACCTGCTAAATTCTGTGTTCCTTCGTTGGGTGACCCCTCAAGCGACTCGGTGACGCAAGCAATGGGGTGTGTGCTTTGGTAATGTCGGTGACGACCAGCCATGTCTCGCTCCACTGCAGGCGAGTCCCATGACCGCAGTAGCTTTGCCACGTGGATTACACGATGGTTGCCTAGTGACAAGTCGAGGCGCGAACAATCTCCAAATGACAGCTGTAGCGCCTCGTCTCTCTTCTCAAATCAGGGAATCTACCGTGTTATACCATACTGTAACGTATATGGTACATACTATAACACACCATACCATGCTCAAGTCCTCTCTAGCAAGCATACAACTAAGGTTGGTTTGGTTGGTGGTAGAAGACCTGGGTCCCATTCCAACCAAGACACGACAGGAACCTTGGCGCATGGATTTCACTATCACGTAAAACCCGAGTCTAGCATGGCAAGGGTTCAAGTGTAAGGATTTTTCCCGAATTCCTTATCGGGGTTGACTGCTTCGCGTACAACCCGATTTTCGGAGTTCGCACGTTCAGCCGATTTCAACGCTGCCGAGGCTCCTCACGTCGCCTTCGGCTTTCCCATTGCCAAACCTGCACCCAACCTCGCTCGTCCGAGGTTTCCTCCTAGCTAGAGTAGTCCTACATTAGTCTGTGCATTCATTGTATTCGCAGTTGATTCAGTCACAGCTTCGTTATTCGTTTACCTGCGCACTCTCTCTTACAACTCATAACACCTGGTATCAGAGCTACTTTCCTAGTTCACCCCGCTTTTCCGAGGGTAGTTTGGTGGCATAGGGTGTGGCTGGTTTAGTGACTACACGACGGTTGGCTGCAGGGATTGTTAATTCAATCCTGCCCGACTCCGATAGTTCGTGTTTTCATTTGCCTGAAGGCCACGGAGACCCGATTGCCCACCAGACGTAGCGTTAGGCATATGGATCAGGAAGCGGTCAACAGGATGATGGCGCAAGTGGCAGAAATGCAGGAAAGAATGAAGACGTTAATGGCAAAAGTGACGACACTGCGAGAGGAAAACGCCGAACTACGCCAGACGCGAGGTGAAGCGCGTCAGGAGTCGCCTGTGGACGAAGGCGAGGGCAACAGTCAGGCGATGAGCAATCCATTGGATGCGCTCACACGTGACTTCGAAGAGGAGGATAGGCAGCGAGCGGCAACAGCTCCAGTTGCAGTGACAACGATCAAGATCAAGCCCGTCAATCCACCCCCGTTTAATCCTACGGACAAGACGGTTACGGTAAAAGGGTGGTTGTTCGGGGTCGAAGTCTTTTTTACTGCAGCCGGAGTTAATGACGACGCCACGCGTATTAATTACGCAGTTTCGCTTCTTCGAGGTGCAGCGCTTGAGTGGTGGCGCCGAACCTTGGAAACAAGGACGCCGACAGGTGTGACACATGCGGCAGACGGGACCTCTACAGTGACTAATCAAGTGGCAACGTCGATCTTCGGAGTGACCACGATACGCACGTGGAAGGAGTGGGGCGCAGCCTTACGAGGTCGCTTCGAGCACGTATCCGCCTCGGAGCAAGCTCGCATGAAGCTGCGTGCATGGTCGCAGATGGCTTCTGTCCAAGACTACACGGCGTCATTTATGAGCCTCGCCGACCAAGTCGATGACATGTCGGAAGCTGAACGGCTGGATAAATACACCAGCGGCCTCAAATACGAGATACAGTACGAGGTTCGCAAGGGCCGTCCGACATCATTTCTTGCAGTAGTACAGTTGGCGGAGTCCACAGATGCGCTGATGCAGTACGCGAGAGCAGCTTCCCGGGAGGGAAACCGTTTTCGTGGCCAGACCCATCGGACCACGATCAACGCCGTCCATACACCCGACCACCCTCCTAAGGGACCGTGTTTCCGGTGTGGGAAGACGGGTCACTACATGAAAGATTGCCACGAGAAAACGCCACTGACGGGGAACGAGAGGAAGGAGCAGGGAAATGGGAAGAGTCAGTAATTAGCGGGCCCTTTACTGACTGTGCTCCGTTGCCCGAACCCCACCATCCCCACCGAGTCGTGGTTCCGATTCATGCAATCGATCGCACTCGGCCGAATAACAGGGATAATCACGTGGATCACCCTGTGCTGGTCGCTGGTAAGGTGTTAAAAAATAACCTGAAAATGTTCGTCGATGGAGGGGCCAGTCATAGCCTCTTCAATTTGGCGAGCGCAAAAAAATGCAAGCTGCAACTTGACAGGTGTCTGCCCGAAGTCGACGCTCGCCTCGTGGACGGGACGCCTCTGGCGATAACGGAAGAAACACAGACGGTCAGGATCGAATGCGGCGACGATTTCGGCTTCAGCATGAAGTTCCTCGCGACAACATTGGACGGCTGCGACGTACTGCTGGGACGCGATTGGCTGCGACGGCACAACCCCGTCATCGACTGGACAACGGGGACGTGCAGCATCAACAAGCACGAGGGGCTAATTAAGCTCCCTGCATGGACCCCTAACTACATCCAAGCCCCGTGCGTCAAAGCCATCACTATAGCTCGCCACTTCAACAGGGGCGCGCAGCTGTTCGCCGTTTGTTTACGCGAGTTGGCAGTCGACACCGAAGGAAAAGACATCGAGAAGCTGTGTGCAGCTGTACCACCGGATTTAGCGGAGCTGATTCGGAGGTACCCGGAAATCTTCCCCGACGATCTGCCACCTGGACTGCCACCGGAGAGACCTGAGGACCACAAAATCCAGCTAGAACCTGGAGCGCAACCAACCGTTCGGACACAGTGGCGGCTGACCCAGCCGGAACTCGAGGAGCTGCGACGACAAATCGACGCACTGTTAGAAAAAGGGTTCATTCGGGCCAGCACATCTCCCTTCGCAGCACCGATTCTGTTCACTCCGAAGAAAGACGGCGGGCTTCGCATGTGTATCGACTATCGCGCGCTGAACAGGGTCACCATCAAGTCTCGCTACCCAATCACCACCGACAACTTCGTGGCGCTCGCTATTTCTCGAAAATTGACTTACGTGGCGGTTACCATCAAATTCGAGTCTTCGCCGACGATTGTCACAAGACCGCGTTTCGTACACGCTACGGGAGTTACGAATTCACAGTGATGCCTTTCGGCCTCACGAACGCGCCCTCAACTTTTCAGCTGACCATGAACAGGGTTTTTCGGGATCTTCTAGACCGGTGCGTTATCGTCTACTAAGACGATATCCTCATTTTTAGCAAGACAAGGGAGCAGCACCTCCGTGACCTGGACGCAGTGTTTAAGCGGCTGCAGGAGAACCGACTCATCACCAAGGGCTCTAAGTGCGAGTTTTTTAAGCAGGAGTTGGAGTTTTTGGGGCACGTCATCTCGCGCGACGGCATTAAAATCGACCCGGCGAAAATCAATACCATACAGGAGTGGAAGTCCCCGACGAACGTCACGGAGCTCCAGAGTTTCCTCGGATTCGTAAATTACGTCCGGAGGTTTATCCCGAATATGGCGGGGATAACCGGCTCGCTGACCGACCTGCTGCACAAGGACAAGAATTTTGTGTGGGGGGAGGAGGCAGAAGCGGCGTTCCGGGAACTCAAGAATTTTCTCGTTTCCCCTCATGTGATGCGCATCGCCGATCCATCGAAGCCGTTCGAAGTTGTAACCGACGCCTCAGATTTCGCCATCGGAGCTGTGCTCCTCCAAGATTTCGGGAACGGGTTGCAGCCGATAGCCTACGAATCACGCAAGCTGCAGGCAGCCGAACGCAACTACCCGATCCACGACAAGGAGATGCTCGCCATCATACACGCATTGAAACTATGGCGATGCTACCTGGTGGGCGCCGACGTCACTGTTCGCACGGACCACAAATCCCTACAGTATCTGCGAGCCCAACCCAACCTCAACCCACGACAGATTCGATGGCTCGACTACATGGAGAGCCATTTCACCTACCGCATCACGTACAAATAAGGGGCTAATAACATTGCCGACGCCCTGACTCGACCGACAGTACAATCCGCTGCAGTACTCATCACCCACTCGAACCCGCTACTTACCGGACTATTCACCCACGGCTACATGACAGACCCCTTCTTCACAACGGGAAACCATCAGCAGGCTACGACGCAGAAAGGGGACTATTACCTAAAAGCCGGAACCGACCGGATTTGGGTTCCCGCTTACCGTCTGCTGCGTGAGCTCCTCATCCAGGAGATACATGATTCAAACCTCTCCGGACATTTCGGGGTCGATAAGACACAGAAACTACTGCACCGTCACTATTACTGGCCCGATTCCTCTAACGACGTGCAGCGCTATGTGTCCTCATGCAGGGTGTGCCAAGCAATGAAGTCGACACGTCAGCGACCAGCTGGATTGCTGCAACCCCTCGAGCCACCCGAACGACCGTGGCAACAAGTGACGATGGATTTTGTCACGGGGATGCCAGCTGGGCCGACAGGCAACGACGGTGTTCTCGTCGTCGTCGACCGCTTCACGAAAATGGCGCACTTCGCACCATGCCGAACGACAATCACAGCCGAAGAAACTGCGCGACTTTTCATATCGACGGTCGTGCGACTGCACGGCATCCCTTCAGCGATCATCAGCGACTGCGACCCAAAATTCACATCCAAATTCTGGAAGGAGACATGGGCGCAATACGGCACGAAGCTACAGTTCTCATCGGCTTACCACCCGCAGACCGACGGTCAAACAGAGCGGACCAACCAGACCATGGAGCAGTTAATCAGGACAAACTGCCCCGATCATGCCCGTCGGGAAGACTCGCTCGCAATGCTGGAATTCGCTTTCAACAACGCACCATCCAGCACGACTAATCATTCCCTATTTTTCCTGAATTATGGGATGGACCCGACGGTTCCGACGACAACTACACTCGACAATCCGGTCCCGCGTTCCCAAACTTTCGTGACGGAACTTCAGGAAGTCCGCAAAAAAGCCGCCGACGCAATTCGCAAAGCGAATACTACTTCCCGCAAATACACCAACCTTCTTCGCCGGGAACTCGTCTTGACTACTGGGCAACTAGTCCTCCTCGACACGAAAAACCTGAACCTGCCCGGCCCTGCGAAACTTCGGCCACGATTTTGGGGACCGTTCAAAATTCTCAAGATGGTGACACCTGTCACCGCGAAGCTGTTGCTACCCGACGATTGGCATATACATGACGCGTTCCACATCAGCCTTCTTCGGAAGTTCGTGCATACCACGACCGACATCGCACGCCAGCAAGCGGCCCCGACAGCTCGCCCCGTCCCGGAGCCAACCCTTGACCCTTCCAAGATTCTCGCTCATCGGGTCCGCCTTGACGCCGCTGGATGCCACGTGGATTTCTTAATTCGCTGGACCGACCGCACCAGTGAGGACGACACGTGGGTGCCATTCGCTTCATTGGACGCCTCGACGCTTGTTGGTGATTATCTGGCGCGACGGCGTGTTTCGGCTATTGACTACCTTTCTTAAGGGGGGGGGGGGGGGGGGGGGTGGTATAAGGAATTTTCCCGAATTCCTTATCGGGGTTGACTGCTTCGCGTACAACCCGATTTTCGGAGTTCGCACGTTCGGCCGATTTCAACGCTGCCGAGGCTCCTCACGTCGCCTTTGGCTTTCCCATCGCCAAACCTGCACCCAACCTCGCTCGTCCGAGGTTTCCTCCTAGCTAGAGTAGTCCTACATTAGTCTGTGCATTCATTGTATTCGCAGTTGATTCAGTCACAGCTTCGTTATTCGTTTACCTGCGCACTCTCTCTTACAACTCATAACATCAAGATTCTTGAACATGATTTAGCAGATGAACACGGTAACCTGCCATTCTGTGGGGCTCTCGTGCAATCCACGGTGAAGGTGTTTAAAGCCCGAGTTCCACATGGCTGTTTTCATGTTCAAGATTCTTGAATATGAATTCGCCAAACACCATGTTACCACCCGAAGTTGAGCACTCTTTCGCAATCAAGGGGAACTCGTGTGCGACAGTGATCCGTGATTGGCCAGTGACACTCACAGGGAGAGGGGTCTGCCGGCAATGCAGCATTGTTCACACTCAGTAAACTTGAAAACCATCTTGTACTAAGTGGCAAGCATACTAAACCTGGTTCACCGGACTTTCACGCTCATAGAATAACTCCTTAGACACACCAAAACTCGTGTACGAACACACGCGGCATTTCGTGCTATATTCTCATTGGTATGGTTAGGATGCTGGTACACCACGTTCAGATGGCAACTGTCACGATGTCGCAACGCCTTCTGTTCCAGCTCCCATTACTCGCATGCAAGCGAGGTCGTTGACAATGCGCCTCGTCGCCCTATTTCGGATATTCGCCCACGCTTGCAACGATCCGTACTTGGCAGGGTAACGCGGACCTTTCCGAAACCATGTGCTTTACTCCGCGCATCGCCGTTCAGTGTGAGGTTTGAGCAGACTCATCCCGCCAACTCGCCGTTCGTCTTAGTAGTATCCATCGTCCAGACCTTGGGTCCAGTGGTAGATGACCCATTGTTAGTACAATCCGTACACTCCACATCGACCCATGCACCTACAACGTCTACGGGTAGGAATAATCTCCGAGTAGTACTAGTTTCTAGATTGATGGGCGCAGTGATCCCGATCCTCCTCGCGTCGTTGCTTTTCCCGTCTGTGTTACCCTCTCTCGCCGCTTTTGCCGCTGCGAATCCTTCGGCTGCAGCCAGCGTAGACTCTACCGAGGCGCTCTATAATGCGTTGATTCGCGACATGGGCGCGGACTAGGAGGTCATAAACGCGCGGAACTCGCCGCTCGGCGCGCTGCTTGTGGCGCCGACTAACTACGCGTGGCAGTTGTTCTGGAGCAAACAAACACGAGGCAACCTGCGGGCAGGTGGAGAGGTCGAGTAACAGCGTGGCTAAAACTCTTTAACGTGCCAGAGCGAGCCAGGGCGAAGCGGCCGACTGCGACAGGTGGGTATAGATAGCCGACCCTTGCTGCTAATAGGAAATCCCCTCCTCTGCTTCCACGCATCCCCTCCCTGCTTCCCCCCATCCCCTTCCCTGCATCCCCACATCCACTTCCTGCTTCCGCCCATCCCCTTCCCTGCTTACCCCCGTCTCCTTTCCCTGCTTCCCCCCATCCCGTTCCTTGCTTTCCCCTATCCCGTTCCCTGCTTCCCCCCATCCCGTTCCTTGCTTCCCCCCATCCCCTTCCCTGCTCCCCCCCATCCCCTTCCCTGCTTCCCCCCATCCCCTTCCCTGCTCCCCCCCATCCCCTTCCCTGCTTCCCCCCATCCCCTTCCCTGCTTCCCCCCATCCCCTTCCCTGCTTCCCCCCATCCCCTTCCCTGCTTCCCCCCATCCCCTTCCCTGCTCCCCCCCATCCCCTTCCCTGCTTCCCCCCATCCCCTTCCCTGCTCCCCCCCATCACCTTCCCTGCTTCCCCCCATCCCCTTCCCTGCTCCCCCCCATCCCCTTCCCTGCTTCCCCCCATCCCCTTCCTTGCTTCCCCCCATCCCCTTCCCTGCTTCCCCACATCCCCTTCCTTGCTTCCCCCCGTCCCCTTCCTTGCTTCACCCCATCCCATTTCCTGCTTTCCCCCATCCCGTTCCCTGCTTTCCCACATCCCGTTCCCTGCTTCCCCCTATCCCCTTCCCTGCTTCCCCCCATCCCCTTCCCTGCTTCCCCCCATCCCCTTCCCTGCTTCCCCCCATCCCCTTCCCTGCTTTCCCCCATCCCCTTCCCTGCTTCCCCCCATCCCCTTCCCTGCTTCCCCACATCCCCTTCCCTGCTTCCCCCTATCCCCTTCCCTGCCTCCCCCCATGCCCTTCCCTGCCTCCCCCCATCCCGATCCCTGCTTCCCCCCATCCCCTTCCCTGCTTCCCCCATCCCGTTCCCTGCTTCCCCCCATTCCCTACCATGTTTCCCCATATCCCCTTCCCTGCTTCCCCCCATCCCCATCCGTGTGCACCCATCTATTTCCCCATACATGCTTTCATCATTCCCCGTGACCCCTTCCGTGCTTCCCCATGTCCCCTTTCCTGCATCCCCAAGTCCTCTTCCCTGCTTCCCCATGTCCCCTTCCCTGCTTCCCCATGTCCCCTTCCCTTCTTCCCCATGTCCCCTTCCCTGCTTCCCCATGTCCCCTTCCCTGCTTCCCCCCATCCCCTTCCCTGCTTTCCCCCGTCCCCTTCCGTGCTTCCCCGTGTCCCCTTCCCTGCTTCCCCCCATCCCCTTCCCTTCGGGTGCCCCATCCCTAAACATGCTTCCCCCCATCCTCTTCCCTTCCCCCCACCCCCTTCCCTGCTTCCCCATGTCCCCTTCCTTGCTTCCCCATGTCCCCTTCCCTGCTTCCCCCCATCCCATTCCCTGCTTCCCCCCATCCCCTCCCCTGCTTCACCGTGTCCCCTTCCACGGCACTCACATGCACCACCTGTCTGCTCTTCATATTCTTCCTCCCCGCTCCCCGCTCTGGGCTAGATTTTCTTAGAGCTACGGCTGCTCCCGACACACCGGAACCGCCTAGGTCTACTGTTCACGACTCTGCCCCTGTAGTAACCCCTACTCCTACTACTTCTCCTATTCCCGTCCCATTCACTCTCCCCCCGGCTGTTGCTGGCTGCAGCAAAGATCCTCCACCGCCCTCGCCCGGTCTTACTCCAAGCACGGTGCGGGTGTCCCTTGGCCCGCCGTCGGCTACTTCCGCTCCCAAGCGTGCGCGATCTGGTAAGTGGGCGCAAAGTACTCTGACTAACGAGCAAGGTGTATTGAACAGAAATGTGGTACAAGTACTAACCCTAATTGGGTTGTAACCCATATTGGCTACCCCACTACAGCCTATACAACACACAACATAAGAGTTTGACACTTCTGACTCATGAGGTCCAAGATGAGCCTTACTTTGTGCTCATGGCTTAAACCAAGGTGGATGCCCCAGCACGCGCGGCTTGAAAATTTATCGATAGTTGACGTTGGTGGGTGGTACTGTACCATACATCCCCACACGCAGAGCATGGATGTGTCACCCTTGGTCCCCGTCCACTTTACATGCGGCGACGAGTTGCCGATAATGGCCGTGGTTGACAGAATGTTGTGCACCCGCACGGCGTGGTGCATTGCGTAGGTACAGTAGATTGGTGGAAGATTCGATTGCTTTATCAACGCTCGCACCTTCATCATGAGCGTACGGTTCGTGCGCTCAGCTACGCCTTGCTGCTGGTGCGCGTAGGGGAGGGAAATATGATGCTCAATTCCCTTTTGCGCCGGGTACTACTACAGCTCCTTGCTCCTGAACTTCGCTGCGCCGTCAGATTGCCAGTTTCAACTTTCTTGACGTAGCGCGTTCCTGCATCGACGAAGGTGAGCGTATACAACTCATCATTGATTCCGCAGTGCCCCACGTTGAGGAATTCACTGTACAACTTGTGCAGTTTGGGGTAGCGATTTGTTCTAGGTTCGAGGAGCGGGAGCAGCTGGTGACTCAGCGCAGCTTCGGGGCAGATGGTGCAGTTGCGCGGATGTGTTACGCCTCTCAATTCGGTGCCATCAGGGCGCAAGAGTGCGCCATGTGCAAATACGCCAGCTTCGATGCAGTTCTTTAGCGTTACGTACGAGGGGTGACTGAGGCGCTAGTGCCAGAAGGCATCATTTGCGCGGAATCCAGAGGTGCGCATGTAGCGTGAGAGGGCTGCTTCGGGATCTTCTTCAGGTACTGGGGCGGCTTCTGAGAAAACTGAAACGAGAATGATTGACTAAGGAATGAAAGTGATACAAATATGCAACCCTAGAAATGTGTACCCCATATAGGCTACCCCACTATAGCCTACACAACATTATAATTTGACACACCCCCATAGGCAAAGTGGGGGAGAACAAGGGGTCACAAGACCAAGCAAGCAAAGCAAAACAAAGCTCAGGGTGGATCACAAAGTCACCACACATTCCGAGCACAAGTTCAAGGCCAGAAGGCCAGTTCACGTGCAGGAACACACACACACACACACACACACACATTGTCAAACATTATATATGTTCTGCTTGTGTAGGCTACAGTGGGTTAGCCTATAGGGGGTACACAATTCTAGGGTTTCCTACTTGTACTCATTTCATTGCTAGTTCATTCATTCCTGTTCGCTTATTCTCACATGGTATCGAGCAGGTTCCCCTGTGGGAACTGTTCGTAGGGCCCACCACCGCTACCTCTTAACCTTTTTTTTCCTGCCCGGAGCGCGCTCCGGGCCCTAGTACTTCTTTTTTTTCGATCTGCCCTAGTGCTCTGAAGGCCGCCCGCCCTAGCGCCCGAGCGCCGCCGCCCTTGCGCCCTGACGGCCGCCCGCCCTAGTGCCCTGACGGCCGCCCGCTCTAGCGCCCGAACGCCGCCCGCCCTAGCGCCCTGACGGCCGCCCGCCCTAGCGCCCGAGCGCCGCCCGCCCTAGCGCCCGAGCGCCGCCCGCCCTAGCGCCCGAGCGCCGCCCGCCCTAGCGCCCTGACGGCCGCCCGCCCTAGCGCCCGAGCGCCGCCCGCCCTAGCGCCCTGACGGCCGCCCGCCCTAGCGCCCGTGCGCCGCTCGCCCTAGCGCCCTGACGGCCGCCCGCCCTAGCGCCCTGTCGGCCGCCCGCCCTAGCGCCCGAGCGCAGCCCGCCCTAGCGCCCTGACGGCCGCCCGCCCTAGCGCCCGTGCGCCGCTCGCCCTAGCGCCCGAGCGCCGCCCGCCCTTGCGCCCTGACGGCCGCCCGCCCTGACGCCTGAGCGCCGCCCGCCCTAGCGCCCTGACGGCCGCCCGCCCTGACGCCTGAGCGCCGCCCGCTCTAGCGCTCTGACGACCGCCCGCCCTGACGCCTGAGCGCCGCCCGTCGTCGCCCCAGCGCCCTAGCGCCCGACGCCCGCGAGCCGCCCGTCGCAGCCGCCCGTGAGCTGCCTGTACGCCGCCCGCCGAGCCGCCCGTGCACCCGCCCAGCGTGAGCCGCCCACGACCGCCCAGGCTGCCGTCCCCTTCTACCGGCCCCGCAACTGCACCTGCTGGCCCCGCCGCTGCACCTACCGGCCCCCACCACCCACCCCCCCTTTTCCCGTCGCCTGTCGAGGCGACCTGAGGGGGCCGCTTGCCAGCAGAGGGGTGGCAGGTGTGTGGCCTCCCCTGCTTCTCCTCCTCCTTCATCGCTCACCTGCAGCAGCCGGGCCGCCCCACTGCCGAGCCGCCCTGCACCCGAGCCGCCCAACAGCCGAACCGCCCTGCCGCCGAGCCACCGGGTCGCTGAGCTGCTGAGCTGCAGTTGCTGCCGAGCCGCCCTGCCGCCGAGCCGCCGAGTCACCGAGCTGCTGAGCTGCAGTTGCTGCCGAGCCGCCTTGCCGCCGAGCCGCCCGAGTCGCCCGAGCCGCCGAGCCGCCGAGCTGCCGAGCCGCTGAGTCGCCGAGCCTACTCTTCCCACCACTGGTGAGCTCTTGCTCTGCTAGCACGCTCACGTCGCCTGCTTGCCTGCCTGCCTGCCTTTTGGCTTGCCTGGCTGCCTGCCTTCCTGCTGCTAGTCCTGCTCCTGCTTCTACTTGCGGAGCCAGATGCAGCCCCAGCGACGCCTGCGTGAGTCCCTCACGCCCCAGCAGCTGCGTGAGTGGTACGCTGGTTGGGGCTGTAGGGGTGGCGACGCTACTCCTACTTCCACTCCTGCTGCTTCTACTCGTGGTGGCGGCCAGATGCAGCTCCCGCGACCCTCTCGTGTGTCTCTCACGCCTCGCCAGCTTCGTGAGTGGTACGCTCAGAGTGGAGGGTCTCTCAGTGCTGTTCGCTGCTCTTACGTGATTCGCACTGGTACTCGGACTGGTCAGCCTTGTGGGACACGTAGTCATACACAGTCCCGCTGCTTCGCCCGTCTGAGCGACGCCTGGCGTACCGTGTTTGGCGACGAGGCTGAGCTTCCCGACTGGGTGGAGTTGCTTAGGCAGAGGGTAGATATATATGCTCTTGACTATGATGCTATTCTCACTGCCATGTATGCATTGCCTACTAGTGCTGACCATGCCGGTCACCTGTGCGTCCCGCCTGACCCAGGTATAGGACCTGCTGCTCTAGCTACTGGTGAGGCTGCTGCTCAGGGTGCTAGTGAGTCTCCTGCTCCAGGTACAGGTGCGGCTGCTGCTCTAGGTGCTAGTGAGTCTGCTTCCTCAGGTGCGGGTGAGGCTGCGCTCTCAGGTACCGCGTTGGCTTCGGCCTCCCTCACCTTTACACTTGACTCTGGGGCTTCTCGCTCCTTCTTTCGGGACCGCACCACACTCACGCCGCTTGGTCGGCCGGTTGCTGTCTCCCTGGCTGACCCCTCTGGGGGTCCTGTCCTCGCTCACTTCTCCACTGTCCTCCCGTGTCCGGCTGCCCCCTCGGGCACCCTGTCTGGCCTGTACCTCCCCTCGTTCTCGACGAACTTGGTGAGTGGTGCAGACCTACAGGATGCGGGGGTTCACCAGTTCACTCCTGCGAGTCAGCGGGTGACCCACTGCACGGACGCACGCACAGGCCGGCACCTGGCCACGTTCTCGCGTCGGCCGGGGTCGAGCCTCTACACCCTGACCACTGAGTCTCCTCCTGTCCCCGCGTCCGGTCAGGTAGCAGCGTCGGGTCAGGTGTTTGCTGCTGCGTCCAGGTCTGGTCCTGAGTCTGCCCCCTGTTCGTGTCGCCTCTTGTCTCACGAGACTCTTCTGTGGCACCACCGTCTAGGCCACCCCTCCTTGCCCCGTCTTCGGGGCATGGCTTCCCGTGTCCTTGTCTCTGGTCTTCCCCAGTCTCTCCCTCCCCTTCCTTCGGGACCAGGACCTTCCTGTGTCCCCTGTGTCGAGGGGCGCCTCAAGGCTGCTCCTCACTCCTCCCAGTTTCCCCCGACAGAGGCTCCTCTGCAGACGCTTCACATGGACGTGTGGGGCCCGGCCCCCGTCCGTGGGCAGGGTCACGAGCGCTACTTCCTGTTGGTGGTTGACGACTACTCGCGTTACACCTCAGTCTTCCCCTTGCGCAGCAAGGGTGCTGTCACTGAGGTGCTGATCGACTGGATCCGCGAGGCTCGTCTCCAGCTCAGGAGGAGCTTCGGCTCGGACTTTCCTGTTCTGCGTCTGCACTCTGACCGAGGTGGGGAGTTCTCCTCTCGCCTTCTGCGAGACTACTGTCGTGCCCAGGGGATCCGCCAGACCTTTACGCTTCCGGACTCTCCACAGCAAAATGGGATTACTGAGCGCCGCATTGGCATGGTCATGGATGTCGCTCGTACGTCCATGATGCATGCGGCTGCCCCCCATTTTCTGTGGCCGTTTGCGGTTCGGTACGCGGCGCATCAGCTCAACCTTCACCCCAAGGTCTCTCGGCCCGCGATGTCCCCAATGTTACTGTGGACGGGGAAGGTCGGCGATGCGTCTGCGTTCCGTGTCTGGGGATCTCGGGCGTTTGTCCGCGACTTGTCTGCGGACAAGCTGTCCCCCCGTGCTGCTCCCTGTGTCTTCCTTGGCTTCCCCC